GGCATCCATCTGCTGGCACCCAGTCCCAGCAGTCCTGCGGGGTCACTGCAGCTGCAGAGAGAAGCACTCACCTCCTCCCCAGTTGCAGAGGGAAGCACCAGGCCTCCACACAGCTCAGACAGGCAGGCAGATAAAATTGAGGAAATGCAGTTTACCATTTTGATTCATAACTGTAAGTTATGGGGGGAAAAAAAACAGGACCTGCACCTCAGGGCAAGTTCATATTCAAATTATAATTTGTATTTCTTAGAAAGACAGCTTCCCATTTTACTTTTAATTTGTCTTATTTCCATGTTTGTGCTTGGGATAACAGTCCTATTCACTCTGACAACCCTGTTTCATAGCTCATAGATGCTTGAAAAAGATACTATACCCAGATCATTTATAAAGTTTTTTTGTTTATGATTATTTTCACTGTTTCAGCAGGTATAGGAAAATGATTGAATACTTTTTTTAACTAAATACAGATGGACAAATTGTCCTCTGAAAAAAACATGACCCCACTTCCTCCTGTTCAATTAAAGTACTTCTGAAGTTTGGCATCTGATTTGTCATAACCAAAGAAGTTTCCTAGCTATATTTTTGGGAAGATATGTTAAAAAAAAAACCTATGAGATGTAAGAAATCACTTCTGTACATGCTACAAAAATTTGCAATGAAGATCTGATAAACTGACATCACACAGGATGCAAAGTACTGATTATAACAGTGCTGCTTAACTTGCTGGTCCTGTGGGCTGAATGGTACAGGGGCTGTCTACAGGCTGGATCTGGCTTTCAGGGTCACTCCACGTGTCCAGTGCCATGTGCCTGGCCCAGCTGTGCATGCTGGATTGGCCGTAGCGCATAGGCCAAGTCATCCAACCCATGGGGCTCCTATGTCCAGAAATTTGGCAGCGGGGGAGCTGCAATTAATGCTGCCACTGCTCTCCCATCACTGTATTTTCAGACCTGTGGGGACCCCCTGTGCCAGACGGCCTTACAAGCTGGATTTGGCTTGTGGGCCAAAGTTTGAACACCTCCTGCCTAAGATATGGCTGGGAAAGGTACCGCTGCTGGGACACTGAGAACTGTCCTTATTAAAACAGAATTCTTCCTAAGAAACCCTTGATCTATAATCAACAAGAAAAGGAGGAAAGTGGATACAGCAGACTATAGGCCCATCAGCCTGACTTCTACCCCAGGGAAGGTCTTATAAAAGTTTATTAAAGAGGACATCCTTAATGAACTGGCCAACACCAATATCCTGAGAGATAGCATGTGGCAGAAAGCCACCTTGGTTTCTCCCCAAAA